AATATGATCCTAAAATGATGATGAAGATCTAAGGGGTCAAAATTTGGGGTGCAACAGAACTTGAATGCTAAAATGATGGTCAGGTAAAGAAAAAATTATATGGTGATCTTCCATTGTTATTGTGCGATTTGTTTTCTGTTGAAATGTGTAGTTGCAAGCTAGTTACTTGAGGACAAACAAAAATTCAAGTTTGGGATTGTGATGACAGTCAGTCATTGCATGAATTCGGTAAAAAAAAACGGATCAAAACAAGTTAAATAGGAGCAAAAATGAAGATGAAGACCAAAGAATGAGGAAAAAGTAGCTGAGTGTGAAGAAATTGGACTTAGTAAAAAATAAGGTGAAAAAGGGAGCAAAATCGTGCAATTACTGGAATTATCACGAGCAGCACCACGAAACATCACATGTGCAATAAGGAAGACAAAGTTGCATCGCGCGCGCGATGCAGGTTATCACACGCATAATGACCCCTTTTTCTGGTATTTTCTCGACGCATTCTAATCCATTATGAAGGCGTAAGGCGATTTTTTTGCACTTTTTCAAGGGTTACAAAATTTGGCACAACAAGTACGAGTTTTATAGCACCAAAAGTGATTTTTAGAGCATTTAACACATTGGAGGCCAATCCTTCAAGGGATCTCATATGCTATTCTTCTTAATATTTTTTGGTATTGCATTTTGAATTATGAGAAGCTAAATATCTATAGATTATGTTATGTTTGATGAACCTATTTCAATATTGTTGGGACACATGTTGATTTGGCTTTGTATGAATACTTTGATATGTAGTTCTATTCAATTACTTCTTGTTCGTAATGATTTTTATGTGAGATACTTTTTTAATCTGATTTTGGATACATAGAGAATATTGACCATTGGTCTATATGTTAGACCTAGGGTAATTGTTGTGCTTACGTTGGTTGAATATGAATAGGAGACCCCGAGTAGTGGCTAGTGAATTAACACTCTGTTGCATCGCCTAATCCTGCTTATGCTGGTGGACTAGGGATAAGAAAATCCGAGTAGTGATTAGTGAGCTATATCGCAAGGGATTGGTTATAGCAGTTTTGTTAATTCACCGTGGGATTATAGTGATAAGATTATTAATGTAAGGCATCAAACATCAATAATAGTGAAATAGGATATTTTATACACAACCTGACCGCTTTCATAATTCTGTCTGAACACTTTCTTTTATTTTCACATTCAAACTCGAAATCCCCTATCTGAATTTACTATTTTCTACGCATTGCACAATTTTTTCTTGTTAAATAGCAGTCCACGTGGATTCGGTCTTTATTATTATTGTGACAATATCGATACACTTGCCGAGAAGTCATCAAGGATCGATTTGTTAACCATAGATGATGTCATTTAGACACCTTACATAGACCATATAATGCATCGAGAGTTTGATGACACTTCCACTTATCTAGTTATCTGCGATGGGAGACCTTTGTGACTAGACACTGACCTAAGAGGTGATTACACAATTTTTTGGTATGTTTAGGACATCCATCGACTTGTCCTTGTTGTGCTAGATAAGGGGATTGATATATGATTTGTTTCTAATGTTGTCACTTGTGCTCGTACTATTATAGATCATGCAGTGGAGGTTCAATTTCTTGAGCAGTGTGTAGATGGTTACTTAGAGTGGTATCTTACTATATCACACCCTCACTTCATCCCACTTGTTGAGCATGCAGATGATACTAGACCTTTCGATGTTGGGGGACCTTTTGGTGACGTGCCACCACCTCCACCTTGTGTGGTTGACCAATAACATCTACAAGTGATAACAATACATATAGATAATCTCACAGTTTTGGTAAACCCATATATTGAGGTTTATACTTTGACATCGTACATAACACACATAGTAAGTGAGGGACCTGTGTGGATTTTATTATTTTTGTATTATTCATATATTATTTGTATAATATTGACATTTTAAATTAACTATTTATTAGATAACCATTTATAATTTCATGATTGCGTGATTAACATATCTTAACACAGACAATTACACAACTTAACAAAACAATAATGAATAACAAAACTTAGACATTACTAGATGATTATGGACGTTTCAACATTTTGATTATATCATTGATAAATATAACATTTTTCACATCAAACTCGACCGGTCCCTTTGTTGTCCTACGGTGATATGTTCTCCACATAAATTTTAAATCTTCATCAGACTTCAGCTGAATGTTGTTGTATTTAACCTTTTCTTCATTATTAATTGATGGTGCATGGAGTTTGATATCACCCATATTTATGTTCTCAGTGTGGGGGAATTGATTATCTAATTTGGATCTCAGAGCAGCGAGAGTAACCGTGTCCTTAGGGAGCCAAAAATCAATAGGAGGTTTCACGCCAGTGAAGTACACAAATGCTATATATGAATATTGAGATATTCTAAGTTTGGATTCATTATGGACCACACACAACTATCAGTGCAATGACAACCATACAAAACTGTCAACAAAATTGCAATCTTGAAAATCCAAACTACCGAATATTTCATAGTCCCGATAAATATCTGGTAAATACCCGAGATTTTCAAAAAACCGGTGATTTAAAACTACTAGATTTTTCAATTTGCATCATTGTGTCCTTCAAGTACATAAGGAAATCTTTAATAATGTAGACCGAGATTCATGGTCATTTTAAGGTATTACATGATCCACTCAATAGTTTTCCAATGCTCATTATTGAGTCAAATAGTAAACATGCACAACAATCCTATGACATATGCAATGTCGGGTCTAACATAATCAGCGGCATACCTATTTGACTGCCAATGATATTCTCATACTCAATTTGTCTAAAAATGTGAATAGTGTTCTTAAATAGTTTTTTTTGGATCAAAATAAAAAAAAATTATTTCAAAAAAATGCGAGGAAGTACAAAGCCGACCAAAAGATTCAGACGACTAAAGCGCCAAAACTAAAATAGCAGACACAAAAGACTCAACACTTAGTCTCCATTACAATATCTTTTCAGAATCCTATCACCACTAGCTCTCAGAACGATAATGTTAATCACGTCACTATTGTGGATCGAATCAACCGTCTTGGTATGAAAAATAATCTTGTTGGAAATTGTCCAAATTGCATAAATAAACTTAGCTATGGAAATTTTCAAGATTCTACTTTTGCTACCTTTTCCACGCGTCATCTGGCACATCCAATGCAACTCTAAATTCCATATCCCTGGATTATGTAACACTTTAACCCACTGAAGCGTATCAAACCAAACTCTTTTAGTGATAGCACATTCAAAGAATAGGTGGTTACAACTCTCCTGTAATCCACAAAACACATACTTACCATCATTGGTAATACCAAAACGGTGAAGACGGTCTTTGGTGGGCAACCTATCTAAGCATGTCAACCAAAGGATGAATTTAGATTTTGGTCTTGCAAGGTTCCCATAGAAGAGTTCTCTCCAACTCACTTTAGGTTTTACCTCTCTCATCATGTGGTAAACCTTTCTCGTAACATACTTTCCTGTGTTTCAGAACTCCTTCTAAACATTAGAATGTACAAGTATGTCACGGTATTTGAACATTGCCTTGAGAGTCCAAGAGCAATCATCCCCCAGACTGAAGATCATAAGATTTGTATTTTTTAAGTAGTAGGAGTGTATCCAAATAATCCATAACTTACCTTTCTTTTCGACCGCGTAAAATGAGAGCCTGTAGTGCTTGCCTCAAACAGGCCTGTATTTTGCATCATCTTCAACAGATCTCGATATTCCGCTTCCTTGACATCCTTACCACTAATTCTATCCCGATTTGTGAGAATGTTGTTGAAATCTCCCATTCCTATCCAAGGACAATTCACATTACTGCTCAGATCCTCAATTTGCTTCCATAACTTCTTCCTTTTCTCTAGTTGATTGAACGCGTATAGAAACATAACAACATATTGAATAATTTGGTTTAACTCACAAAACTCTACGTGAATGTATTGGTCACCAGTTTCCAGCATTTTAATCTGCACAATATCATATTTCCACATAATCCATATCCTTCTATTGTCCTGACGTATGTAATTATTAGCTAACTTCCAGCCAGAGCCGAATTTCTTCCTAATATTTGCTGCATTTTTTTAAACCCTTGTTTCCAATAAAGTGACGACTAACACATTAAAACTGGAGAGAGCCGAATTTCTTCCTAATATTTGCTGCATTTTTTTAAACCCTTGTTTCCAATAAAGTGACGACTAACACATTAAAACTGGAGAGACAGGAGCCAACCTCTCGATGTCGTGCTTCTTTATTTATGCCCCTTACATTCCAAGTGACTAACATGGGACTTGGGTATTCTCGTCTCTAGGACAGTTCCCAATCCTAAGAGGTGTGAAGCTGTTTTGATATCTTCTATTTGTGGAGTTTTTTAGAGTACTCTCGGCTTGTTGTTTCCCTCGATCAGGTCTGCCTGAATTTATAACTGTCCATTACTCTTCATGTGTGCTACCTGTCTCAACTTCTGCATCAACATTGGTTGCAGGGTCTGTTTTAGTGGTATCTTCTTTGGTTCCCCCCATGGAAGGCTACTGCTTAACTGGTTTCCATATCTTTTTAGAGCGATGCTTGAGGGTAGTTTGTTGTGCAGCATAATTGTGTCCAATTTGTAAACATGTATGACAGTACTTTGGCCTCCATTCATATTCAATTCTTTGTTCCAACACCTTGCTATTGTGGTCCTTAGTACACACAGATTCTCTATCTTTTCTGTGATATCAACTTCGATTAAAACTCTTGCGTAAGAAATTCGTAACTTCTTAGTTGTGCATTCATCAGTGGTTATAGGTTTGCCTATGGTGCTTGCAATTTTTGACAGACTCCTTTCTCCCACAGGTGTAGCGGCAAATTCGGTAAGGTCACCCATAAAGGAAGGATTCTAAGCAAGTCTTCCTTAATCTTGAAGTCAGGAGCCCAGTAACGAATAAAGAAGGGTTTTTCGTATATGAAATATGGTCCTGACATCATGAGCTTCTCCTTATTGTCGTTATTCTTGAATCCCACAATGAAATATCTCGCGTCATTGTAGTATAGGTCCAGTAAAGCGACAAAGTTCCAAGATTTTTCCACGAATTTCTTGACAGCATGCATTGAATTTCCCCTAGGGCAAACAGAGTTACTGCATTCTCCCAATACTCCAGTTCCTCTGCTACATCAACTTCATCAATAGTAACTTCCATATCTCCATTCACTAGTGTTGGGGCAACAAATTCCACCACCATACCTTTGTCATGGTTTTTGTTTCCTTTGACAACATCTACCTAGGGTTTTCTCTCCTACGTATGGACCAGCGAGCTAGGTTCCCCCTTCTCATCGATGGATTTCTTCTGTTTGTTTTGCTTTGGTGAATTTGTGGATACTGCATTACGAATTTCCGGTTCAGATTCATTAGCCTTGTCTTCTGTTACTTCTGGTTCAACAATTGTTGATGTAATAATCATTTTCTCTGCCGTTTTCCGGCATGCCGTCATCTCTTTTTTCGATCGGCCGACACCCTATTTTTCTCTGGTCATCTGAACTCTAGCAGAGAAGGCAGCGTGTTCCTGATCTTAAATAGTTTAACTTTAGGATCATATAGTTTGCAAGCAAGTTTACATGCAACATAAATATATTTCTTTAATATCTTTTCCAAATAGTGAGGCTGGTCCAAAGATATTTCCAACAACAAATATAACTTAACAATGATTTCACATCATTAACAATATGAAGGTTTGATCCAAATTTGAGTAATTCGTTTGCATAAAGACATATGATAATGAAAATACTATTTTTAAAATTGTAATAAATGCATTTGTCATTTTCATTCACTTTGTATACCCTTCCGATATGATTAAGTTATCAAACCTTTCATGCCAATTATTTGGAGCTTGTTTTTAGACCATATAAAAACTAATCTAATTTACAGATGACCATGAATCACAAACCCTTCCAGTTGGTTCACATGGATCTCTTTTTCTAAGTCACCAGTTAAAAAAGTTATTTTAACAACCATTTGGTGTACTATTAAATTATAAATAACAACAATTGAAGTGACTAGAGAAAAAGTATCGAATAAATTTATATTTTTCTCTTTTCCTAAAACCTTTGGGTACAAGGCGAACCTTGTACTTATCAAGCCATCAAGTTTTAGTTTCTTTTTCAAAATCCATTTACAAGTGATTGGTTTGAAACTAGGGGTCAAATCTACTAAGTGTCAAGTCTTGTTAAATTATAGAGAATATATTTTACCTTTAATAACTTCTTGCCACAAATGTGAATACAAAGATGACTAGGCTTCATGATAATTTTTTAGATCTTTTTTTAATGTATATGCCACATAATTATGACCATAATGTTTATCAAATCATACTATCTTACTTCATCGAAGTTTTATTTGTACTTCGTCGTTGCTACCAGTACTTTCTATCACAGGAATGTAATTATATGCTACCCAATGAATTCATATTCATAGGCTATACGAGTGTGTTTAACTTGCTTCGAATATGAAATTCTGACATAATCCAAGCATCTCCAAGTTCTAAAGTAAGACAAGCTTGGTTGTCTTTTCTTCAACATATCATAAGTAGGTCTTATTTTTAGAATTGGGAACTCTATTCAAGACATAGCGAGCAGTCAATAAAATTTCCCCCACCAGTGAGATAAAACACCATAATTCAATATAATAACAACGACTAGTTCAATAAGTGTTCTGTTCTTTCTTTTTTGCTTTACCATTCATTTAAGGAGAATATGATGCAATTGTTTCATGTATAATTTCATATTGTTAATAAAATTAATAAAATGAATTAGAATTATACTCAATTTCCCTATAACTACACAACCTCTTAATTTTCTTACTAAATTAATTTTCAATTTCTTTACAAAAGTCTTAAACATATCAACTTCATTCACAAAATATCGTTCTTAGTGATGGTGTACAAATCAACCCCTATAGTCTAACTAAACCTTGACTTATTCAAAAGAAAACTAGAAACAAAATTAATTTTAACATCAGAAGTATGCATGACATCCTTCAAGATTAAAGTCTTTTTCAGAAGTGGACTTCAACCTCACTTCTCCAATACCGACAACATTAGTGGTATGGGAAACAACCAACAACTCTTTCTTATTTATGGTATTTGTGTACATTTTAAACATTGCATGATCATAATAAACATGGTGAGAGGGGCCAATGTCTATCCACCAAATATCAGATCCACCAACCATGGTTATTTCAATGATCATTGCAATAAACTTCTCATTAGTCAAGTTAACACGTGAAATAGAAGCAACACAAAATTCAAACCCGATCTTACATTTCTTAGCCATATGACATAGTTTTCCATAATTGAAGCAAGAGAAAACACCAGTGTCATTTATTTTTTGTGGTGCTTGTTGCTTATAAACTGGAGTAATTAGAGCCCTTGAAAGGTTCCTGTTTTGTAATGAGCCAATATCTGCCCTTCCGCCGGGCAGACCCAACCCAAGGCTACGATGATGAGGCCCAACAAGGCCAAATTTCCTACGTCGGGGAGGAGCCTCAACAAGACTCAACCCCCGGGCAGAAGACCTCCGGACGGGGGAGGTCCACACGCTTTCTCCATGTTCTCCACATGCTCCCCCATGCGGGGACACGTCATTAGGACACTACCAACGTCTGAAAGAGATGGTCAACCCACCTTCCGAAGATCACGGGGCAGTTGATCCTGAGCGAAAACCACATGTTGGTATTCACTGCGCCACGTAAGCTCTGACAGTTACTAGTGTTGGGCTTGGCAATCCAGCCCAATGCAATGTAACCGTTGGCCCTGCACTAGGGTCACATTATTAATACCCTATTTCACTAGAGGGTCAGGTATTCTATTCTCCACACCTTTTCTATGTGCTTTCTCTCTTTAGTTCCGGTACTTACTTAGGCATCTGAGCATTTTGCAGGTACACCCCCTTTATCCTCCACAACTCCGGTGAAGGCATTAAATCACGACGCGTGGCAGGTCGCTGACTCCTTTCTGATCAGGTGAGATCAACGGCGCCATCTGTGGGAACGTCACTTCCCCGTTCTTTCTCCTGTTCGAGCACAAAAGCTCAAGAACCAAAGCAAAACTAACAACAACTTCCATTCTAATCATGATCATCCCGTGCCACAATAATGCCCCAGGATCTGCCTTTACCCCCTTCTTCAACGGGGACGGCCACAATCCCAACACGTCAGTCTGCAACGAAGAGGGTGACCACAGGGACGGGCGCACAACCTCTCCCTCATCCAAAGATGTGGCTTACAACACCGTCCAACGCTTAGACAACCCGACTGTCTACCGGACCATACCGGCCCCAGCTAGCGTCGATCCTACCATGGTAGCTCTGTTTGCGGCCATCAATCAAACCAACTTGATGATCTTCAGGCAAAATGGACGAATAGGGATGCTCGAAAGGGAACAACCTTCACGCTCTCCCCCATGGAGACATTGTCGTCCTGTTTCCCTCAGTTCGTCCCCTCAACTGCGGAGACGCAAACTCCCGGTTTCCATCAGCCCGTCTTCTCCCCCGCGGAGGACGCAGTTCGTCGAAGAACCATGAAGCCCTTCTCCCCTGCCGGCGAGGCTCCGAACTTGTTTGGAGCGACCTCAACAGTCAACTGCCCACAAATGGGACAGGTCGCCTCCCCGGAAAGAGCGACGTTCCCCGACTCAGAAGAAGAAGAAGGCCGTATGGGGCTCATCCAAACCGAGAGCCCGACCAAGGAGTCCCCTACGTCGAAACTACCAGGATTCAGCTTCCCCCTCACTGTCTCCCAATAGGAGCGACGAGGACCTCCAGCGCTCCCCGTTATGCAGATCCATCAGGGAGGCCCACTGCCCACTGGAATGGAGAAACCCCCGATCCTAGCTGCGTACGATGGTACGACCGATCCGGACGACCATATCAAAAGCATAAACTCTATGCTCGACTACCGGAATGTCCGGGGAGCCATCAAGTGTAGGATGTTCCTCACCATCCTAAGGAAAAGAGCCATGGCATGGTACAAACGCCTCACACCCGATTCCATTACATCATGGGGCAAACTGTAGCGGCAGTTCTCCCGACACTTCACGGTTTCCCGACGCCATCCGAAGACAGAAGCGGCCCTGGAAGCCATCATCCAGGGGAGAAACGAGTCTCTCTGTGATTATATAGAGAGGTTTAATCATGAAGCCGTCCAAGTATCCACCATGGACGATATGAAGAAATTCTTGATACAAAGGGGCATACAACCACACTTTGACTTCGCCAAAGCCATGGGAACCACACATCCCCTCACCTTGAATTCCCTCCTCCACAAGCCTCAATTATACATCGAGTATGAGGAGATAGAAGTCGCCAATACCTCCTGGGACAGAAGGAATCAGGAGGGTGTTAGAGGCTCCAGACACGAGGAAGCCTCTCAGCCTCGACGCAACGAACAAAGAAGGTGCGAGAACCGACCCCGCGAGCAGAAAGGATCGGCAGGCCGATTCACCGAGTACACGCTATTCACAGCTCCCCGCAAGCACATTCTGGCCGAATGCATAAATTTAGAATTTCAGAAGGGCGGAGTTTGGTTCCCAAAACTGACACCCCGAAGCCCAACATGAACAAATCCAAGGACTACCGATTCCACCAGAGCCATGAGCACATCACGGAAGATTGCATCCACCTCAAAGATGAAATCAAGATATTAATTAAAGAATGACATCTGAAACAGTATACTCGGAGAGGTGAAACCCCCCGACCTGAGGCCCGTGGGGCCAAGAGGGTCGAGGAGGCGTCAGTCCCCTCCGATGAATCAGGACTGCAGGTGGCTCTGTGCATCTCCCGACCAGAAGATTTCCTCCTCTTTAGCGAGCCCACCAGACCATTGACCGCCCATAGTCCTTGGGGAATTTCCCCACCGAATTGGTGATATCCGGGGGAGGGCTCAACAAGATGTCAATCGGATCAGTCAATAGGAAGTTCAAGGAACTCATCGATAAGAGCTCGAAGATGAACGCTACCCTTGACAGGTTCAAAGGGCAATCAAACCCGATCACCTTTTACCTCAAGGAACATCCCAGGGGGGAACCCAACGCTAGTATTCCTCTCTTGATCAGAGCTAAGATGGCAAACTTCAATGTCTGCCAAATCCTGGTCGACTAAGGGAGTTTGGTGAACATTATGTACGCCGACCTATTCACGACCCTGCAGCTCGATGAGAGCCAATTGACTCCATATGTAGGCTCTGACCTCT